GTTTGGTATGCTACAGATCAATACCTTATTTATTTCTGTATTCCATCTCGTTTTAAAGGTAAGAGAGCAGTGGTACTGCACTACGGAGATACCACCACCCAAGCTATTTTTTCCCTGAGACAAATTACGCATTCTGAAGTGACAGCAGACGTCACCTCATGTATTACGGTAGTGCGGTCTCCGTTAATGTTCCTTCGGAGTTGTCCGATTGCGCTGAACTAATTTTAAGTGAAATATATGTTTTTTCTAATTGTCTCACAACTTACAGGAAAAATCTGTCGCGGATCATCTCACAATTAAATATAAATTAATCTTAAGCAATGAATGAAATGTAATCAAATCTTAGCAAATTTTTTTTTTTTTTTATGTTAATGCACTGTCGATTTCACCTATAATTGAGGTGACATCTGCCATGAACTCTTGTCAATTGTTCAATGCTTTGTATTGATGATCACTTTGTTGGTGCAACTTAATAAATAAATAAAATAAATTATCGAAGCGGATTGCAATTGACGTGTGACGTCATTTGAGGCCAAAGCTAATGATAAACTAACCATTTATCATACTCTAATACACAACGATTACACACATGACAAAATGTGATAGTAGTACTTAGTTTATTTAGTTATTTGAAGCGATCATTAATCAGATCACTGTTATTTTGAATCGTAGTGATTGAATGATAATTTGAATTTTATTAATGACTTGTTGAGAATTTGAACTGGTTTCTAGAGAAGCTTCAACTTAATAAAAAAAGGATCAGCAATTTGTGCTTGAACAAAGTTGCAATTAAGTTACGCTTGTCTCTTGCAATTTTGTATGCTCCATGGAGAGTGCTCTGAGAAATTGTTTCAGATGATACCGTCATCTCGTTTTTGCCATCGTACCGCTCGCCAGTAGTAGAGAAGAGCTCGGAGTAGAGTTCATCCATACTACTTACCTACTGCGATCATCCACAATGCGTTTCCGGAGATCTTTTTTGCTACGTGCCATCCGTCTTTGCAATGACCTCTACAATGTTTCGCGACCGCTGTAGCATGTCCTTCTTCAAACGAATCTTTCGGAGAGCACATAACAGTAGGCAGCAGTTTGACTCTGCCCCTGGCGATTCTGACGCCCATCAGCCACCAGTCAGCATCTGTTGTGCCGTCGCCAACAAACAAAAAACAAAAAATTTGACTGTTATTTATACAAAACTGTTTAATTTCAAAGCCTTCCTTACTCGCGGAAGCCCCCGATGTTACTAAGCCATAATTGGTATTTCTGATTCGAATTCGCGTGGGCCTCTTATAAAGTTGGACTAGCCCGACACTCCACTAGAATGTTCTCGAAGCGCTTCGAACCGCCAGACCTGGAAGCGCATTGCCTGGAGGGCGGTCGTTGGGAGCATGGCCGACCTATAGGGTCCTTCTGCACATACAGCGTCAGCGCAACCACGACCACTCTGACGCGAGCGTCCGACTGAGAAGAAAAAGAGCCCGTCTAGAGCTGGACGCGGAAGTGGCATTGGATTGGTCACATATTGAGAAAACCCGTTACCCACCTATCAAAGAGAGCACTGACCTGGAAAGTGTCTGGCAAAAGGAAGAGAGGCCGCCCCAGAACAACTTACTGGTGGTAGGACCTCTTGTGAGTCCGCGCGGATAGGTACCACCACCCTGCCTATTTCTGCCGTGAAGCAGTAATGCGTTTCGGTTTGAAAGGTGGGGTAGCCATTGTAACTATACTTGAGACCTTATAATCACCTTATATCTCAAGGTGGGTGGCGCATTTACGTTGTGGATGTGTCTATGGGCTCCAGTCTAGAAGATTGCACAAAGTTGAGAATGAGTTGCTCGCTCCGGGCAGTTCAATATTGTAATAATTGTTATGTTATTAGACTCGTGTAAAAATGAATGTTTAAAAAAAATCTAATATTAAATTTTTTATCTAATATTAAAAAAAAAAAAACATGCCCGCTGAGTTTCTTGCCAATTCTTCTTAGGACGGAGGCTAGTTCTTGTGAATTGGCAGTAGTTCTTTTGACGTTCAACAAGTATGTACTTTCATTTATGTTGAATAAATTTTTTTTTGATTTGATTTGATTTGAGTAACCACTTAACACCAGGTGGGCTGTGAGCTCTTCCACCCAACTTGACGTCGCTCGGTGGAACAGGAGCTAGGTGTCTTGGGCATGACGTGGGAGGAGCTAGAACAGATTGCCGAAGACCGATGTAAATGGAAGGATTTGATTCGAGCCCTACACCCCAGCAGACAGTAATAGGAAAGGATGATGATGATGAGAGCTGTTCAGCTTCTATTTTCCTAATACATACTCGTATATTTACACAACCCAATATTGTGCTCTAAGGTGATTTTCGATCCAAAGTCAAGGTAATTTTGAGGCGTTAACCTCGTTGCAGGAGCGTGAAATTGAGACTTCAATCTAATGTCACAAGGGTGACATTCCAGTGTACTGAACCAAACGCGTTCTCGAATTACCGTAATGCGTAAGATAGCGATTGTTTTGTTCTTAATAATGATATCAATGGATCAAAGGCTGTTTGTCTTAAGTGACATTTTTGGGACATTACAGGAGAGCCATTTAAAGTTTCAAATTTGGAAAAAATATAATTTAAAAAAAACTTCTGCAACTATTTGAAAACATCATTTTTTTATACTAATCTATATCTATATCTATATCTATATCTATATCTATATCTATATCTATATCTATATCTATATCTATATCTATATCTATATCTATATCTATATCTATATCTATATCTATATCTATATCTATATCTATATATATAAAAGTGAATTGCTGTTCGTTAGTCTCGCTAAAACTCGAGAACGGCTGGGTCGATTTGGCTAATTTTGGTCTTGAATTATTTGTGGAAGTCCAGAGAAGGTTTAAAAGGTAGATAAATATGAAAATGCTCGGAATTAAATAAAAATAACAATTTTGTTTTTCCTTTGGTGTGTTTGTGTTTTAAGTTTATTTCATACAAAAGTTTAGGTCTTTTATTTATCGATTGAGGCACTACGAAGTATGCCGGGTCAGCTAGTACCATATAAAATGGACCTTTAGTCGCGTATTGACGGGAACGTCGTTTAAACCAAACCTTGCAGCCCTCGATATAAAATAGTTTTTTTTAATAAAATTTTAATGGAGCTGTGTTTAATGTATCTCTCTACAAAAAATCAAGATAAAATGTTAATTATACGTAGAAATTCAATTAATGCGTTAGCGTACTTCAGAGGTCGATTTGGAAAATTCATATATTGAATTTCTGTGTCGTCAGCCCATCGATGTGGGCTCAGCTGCAGTTCAGTGCCCTCGTATCAATATGTAACAGTCGGTCAGATGCATTCAACAATCCTATATACAAGATTTTTTTCTTCGCAAAGCCTTAAATAAAACGATCTTATTTTTTTCTCTCTTTTTTTTATTGCTTAAATGGGTGGACGAGCTCACATCCCACCTGGTGTTAAGTGGTTACTGGAGCCCATAGACATTTACGACGTAAATACGCCATCACCTTGAGATATAAGTTCTAAGGTCTCAGTATAGTTACAACGGCTGCCCCACCCTTCAAACCGAAACGCATTACTGCTTCACGGCAGAAATAGGCAAGGCGGTGGTACCCACACGCGCGGACTCACAAAAGGTCCTACCACTAGTAATTACGCAAATTATAATTTTGCGGGTTTCATTTTTATTACACGATGTTATTCCTTCGCCGTGGAAGTCAACCGTGAACATTTGTTGAGTACGTATTTCATTAGAAAAATTGGTACCCGCCTGGGATTCGAACACCGGGCATCGCTCAACACGAATACATCGGACGTCTTATCTGTTAGGCCACGACGACTTCTAGACTTATACAAGCTGTTTTCCTTTAGTTCTGTTAATAATTATTAATCATGAGTGATGTGTCATGTAAATGGCTTCACTATGTGTGAAAATGGTTCAAAATTATGCAATGCAATACGCACCCGGTGGGACTAAAGGAATGCTTATCAAACACTATGATACCGGATGCATGACTTCATTCAATCCTACAGTAACAGCAAAACGCCACTAAGTTTCACTAGTTTATAAATCAACAATTACATTGAAATGCATTAAAACTCATATCTCAAACTGAAATCATTTATTACCTAAATTTACATCCAATATTTATCACTATCAAAACATAGCATATTATGACTGGACATCGCCAGCTTCAAGCATAGACATAGTTAAAACCATATTAATGTGTTTTATTTATTTAAGGATAAGTTATTATATACGGATTTTTAACTTATCAGCCTAACTAAAAAAAAATGGTCATTATTTTATTCAAGTTTTAGGTCCAGTTTGGTCATTTTATTAAAGTTTCTGGCATGTTTTCGAAGCTATTGAAGGAGCGTCATGTAATAGATAAGGACAGCTTCCCGATAGAGATGATCATAACCTCACTTAAAATATTTAACACAAACTGAAACGTTTTTTTTTGGAACGATTTTCCTTGTGGGACGATGCGGGGGGGTACCCTAACGTCCGTAACGTAAGATTTTTATTAGTAATGCACACAGTGTACGACTTAAGTTTGTAATAACTTACAAATTAGTAATGCACACAGTGTACGACTTAACTTTATAATAACGTACAAAAAATAACATATTTTTTTATCATTCATTGACCACGATCTCAGAGCGTTCATTTGCACAATACACTAACTCTTATGCAAACAACCGTGAATGAAGTGTACCACAATAAGTTCGCACGTTACCGAATGACCGTGGGTTGTTGCGAAACCTCCAGTTTTATTTTCTTTATACCTCGAATAGAACTTTAAATTAATATTTTTATAATCAGGAACTTCGTTCCTATCCGGTGTCCCACAGTGTCCACCACACAGCTTATTTTTAATTCCCGAAGAGTGTTTAGGAAAGATCGTAGATAAAAATATGTTAGTATTTTGTGGTTGATACTCAAACCGCCGAACCACACACGAGAGATGAGTTGGAAGTATTAATTTTATTGTGTTATCCCGCTATACCTATCCCGCTCTTCATATTAAAACGCACGAATATTTTAAGCAGAAACACACATAAGTTTGCGGGATCCAAAGCTTTGAATGACTTAGCACGAGTGATTCATTGGTTTGGTTTTAAAAAGTCACTCGATCAACGTGTAACAAACTACTCAATGTAGGCAATACAGCATTCTCCCTAATTTAAACTACGTGACCAAACTGAAGCATTACAATTATGTAACTAACTGACAATGTCATGAACATTGGCAACATATACGAGCCGACGGGCAGGACTGACAGCATCTTGATTTGCACTGGATTCTTGACGACCATACGTTGTAAGTTTTTTAGCGTTCGTAACGTATCTCGGCAAGGCTCTGAAAGGTAAATAAAACTAGTCAGTAAGGGACCTTAAGTGGGCGGGGCTTGATGACATCATGTCAGCCAGGAAAATAGAGAGGTATGCAGAGGCTTGCAAAGGCGAAGGCAGCAGTGATGGGCCCTAACAACTCACTTCTTTCACGACGTCAGAGACAGTTCGACGTTGTTACGTTGAGGTCGGTTTTAGCTCTTAATATTATTGTAAATTTGTTTAGGAGTTATTTTTGTAGTAATTCATGTGGACTTCCTTCTTTTTGTTTAAATTAGTTTTAAAACTAATTACATGTTGATATTACTCACGAATTAAAATCCCATTGTACAATCTTGCCAACAGCACGTTTAGCAATAATATCTGATTCCATACCCTTTGGCCCGTCACGATTATGAGAACTAATCCGATATTTTGGTACAGTAAGGTAAATATTAAATTGACAATAATGATTTCGTTCATATCCGTTGCTATTGATCCCTGAAATGATGTTTTAGTGCAGTAGATTGCCAGAGGAGCTCACGAAAACTGTAGCTACCAGATACCATAGGCACCTCAATGTTAACGCCCAAATTGTGACATGAAATTGAAGAACTAATCGTACTAAAGGAACAATTGTAATCCATTTCAAATCAAAATACACAAACAATTCTCGGAAACTGGTTCATGAGACTCAAAATACGGTCTTCAGTAAGCAAGCAAATGTATAAAATTGGTATAACAGAGTGGGAAGCGATATTTAAAATTTGCAGACAAAAAATGATGGTTATTTCGGCTATTGTCTAGTTAAGCCACACGGCTTAACTCGAAAATATTACATAAATAAATTTTTAAATCTAGTAGTGTTACTAGATTTAAAAACTTATTTATGTAATATTTTTTCTTTTCTTTATGAATTTACTTACGAGGACTGACACTTTAACCATCCGAAAGGCGGTGGTTATAAAATTTATGACTGCCGATACGAATACGCATATAATCTGAAAAAAAAAGTAAAAATATATATTTTATTTCATTAATTGGTACACTAATAGTTTAACATCATATCGTATTGGACGCTGGACTAGGTGGGTAGTTTGCTGGTACACATTATGACGCCCTGTATCGTTCAGCACCTTGGCAAGCCCGATCTGTATGGCCCTCAACCGTAGACGCTTTTTTTTTTATTACGCTTGTAGGCAGACGAGTATACGGCCCATCTCATGGTGAGTGGTTACCGTCGCCCATGGACTTCAGCAATGCCAGGAGCAGAGCCAAGTCGCTGCCGACCGACCATGCTGCTGTCTACTTATGTGGAGTCCTCGATATAAAAATGCACTCCGCGTCAAATGTGACCACTTGTAGCCAGGCCACTGCCTCAGTTGAGTCTGACTCATCTATTCTGACGCGGACTGTTGAGCAATAACGGTTTTAGTAGATTCAACTCGAACATACCCCCCAACGTGTAGGCAGAAGTCCTTTGCGGTGGGGCCGTTTTTGCGGCCTTATAACTGCCGGTAAGGCGTCCTATATGTCTCTTAAGTAATGGAGAGGTTAGTGTTCGTAGGTTCAACTTCCACATACAGTACTCATCATCATTATCCTGCTCTTCTCCCAATCACCTAGGGTCGGCGCAACATGTCTTCCCCTTCCATACTCTTCTATCATATACCATTTCTTCGCTCACTCCCCTGTTACCCATATCGTATTTCACGCAATCCATCCATTTCTTCTTAGGTCTACTTCATCCTCTATATCCTTCCACATTCATAGTTAAGATTTTCTTACCAACCTCATTTTCATTTTGTCTTATCACATGTTCATACCATCCCAAACGCGCACTTCTCAGCTTCTCTGTCACAGGTGCCACTTTCAGACTACCTCTAACATATAGTACTATAATAATTAAAAAAAAGTACCTGCAAACTGAAGCAGGCTTGTAGCAATTTCGAACTCATCATCAGTTGCCTGTAAATTGTGGCCCAACGCTTGACTTCATTTTTCGTGACAGCATCAGAACTGATTGGTACATCTTTAACTGTACCTTTATTATCAAGGCTAACTTTCTTAATAGCCTCCTTGACTAATAAATTTAAGTGCTTAGTAAATATAAGAAAAAGGTATTCTATACCAAAATAAACAACACACTCTGTTTGATAACGCAATTCTAATAACGTCGAACTCATTGTCCAAATCACATCACTAGAAGTAAATTCGTAAAAGTCGTTCAAAGTAATTTTATCGACAGCTATTCCAATACAAGTAACGCAATATAGTATTATCGTGATTGCAATTATCATTGTATTCGATCTACCCAAGGATTTCAAATAGGTCTTATTGTTCGTGAAAAACTTATCTATGAACTCAAGGGATGTGACAAGATCTTTGAACTCTTCAGAGCGAAGAATTCCCATAACAATGGAAACAAAGGTAACGACGTAAAAGCAACAAATAGTGCTGAAAACAATAAACATTGATCTATTATCTGAGTGAAAATATGAATAAATTATAAAACTATTGTTGACGATTGAAAAAACATATAGGACCAACTCAATTATGATGTGAATTAATATTATCGCTCTAGATTTTTTGTTAAAAAACAAAAAGTTTCGATAAATGCACAACAAATTTTCCAAAAATACAATGGATCTCAACAAACGGATCTTTTTCATTTCAATAATATTGTTGCCTGTGATACAACCGTGAAATCACTCGTTCAACTTAGAACTAGTTGGTTAAACAATTGAGTAAAGTTTCAACCTTTATCTGTCTAATCAATCAAGTCCAAATTCGTGTTGTAAAACTGATGTTATCAGAATGTAGACTCTGTTATTGAGCACTTAAATATTTAATGAAAATTCTTTTTTCATCAACTTTACTATGAAGTGTCATTAAAAACTACTGTGAAGTGTCGTTAAATGAAATCATTGTTTTAGGACGGACGATTTGAAAAATATGTATGTGTATACACATTGATATAACACTGATCACTGATATGCGATGATATGACATCGATATGCAACCCTTTTTTTTAAATCTTATTCGTCAATCCGAACCATTCTGGCAATTTTCCGAACGTCACCGTGAAGCTCCCTACACATTTTAACCCTACAATCATTTAGGCTCTCGGAAATGTGAAGCTGATGAAATGATAGCTGTTCATCCTTGTTTTCATTTGCATTTTTCGCATTGCATCGTATCAGACACAAAGAGGGTCGCATGACTCGTGGCGAAAAATAGGCAAGACGCCATCTGTGTGGTATCACCAAATGCCCTACCACCAACAAAGACTTTAGATTTATAAATTTCGCGGGTTTTTCATAAATTTTTATTACTCAGTATTGCTTCCTCTAGAATAAGTAATTCTTTGGAATATTTAATACTTATACGATCGATACAAGTACATAAGGCGTTCTTCAAGCTGTAATGACTTCAATTCGACCAAATATAGGAGTTAGATAGATGTTATTTTAAGGATTCTGCTAATAGAAAATTAGGGGAGGTACTCTGCCAGACTATTATCGTTGGGTTCCTTTACCCGTTTATTTTACATAATAATTAAAAAATATAAAAAAGTCATTCCAAAAAGAAAAAACCCAAATTCGAAACGTTTTATTCACTTTATTAATAAACAGAAATCCGATTTATACGACAAGCCGATTTTCTAGGATGCCCGTTACAAAAATGGCGGGGTCAAGCAATGTAGTAGTAAAGTAAGGTAAAAATGTAAATGTCTATCCCGTGCATACAGTAGCCAACAATGTCACATGAAGTTGAGACCACACAACGCAGCAAATTACTGCTATGGAGGTTTTACCTCAGTACCCCTGCTAGCTCGGTCCGATGATCGGATCCGAAAGATAGTGTGGTTTTGGTACTGAAAACTTCTCTAGGTGCGTTGAGCGCTTTTTGATAGGGGAAAATCTTATCGGCTCGCATCACCAACATGCATAATAACAGTATCTATATATTAATACGTGAAGCAAAAACTTTGTACACCTTTGTACGAAAATTGCGCGGACGGAGGAATATGAACTTTCCCACACTTAGAGAATTTAAAGAAGGAGTGCACAACGCAATTTTTTTTTAAATACGGCATATAAGATACATTAAATCAATAAAGAATACATTACACACACTACCATATATTAGGCGCGGACTTGTCGCTGCCTGGCGTCGTGGCATCGATGCTTGGCGGCGACGAGTCCTGGAAGGCTATGCTCGACTTCTGCGAGTGCACCGTCTCGCAGAAGGAGGCGGCGGGGCGAGAAAGGCAAAGCTGTCCTCACTACGCAGAAATCCGCTGCCGCCGAGCAGGCGGTCGGGACTGGGGTCCCAACCGTGACCCGGCCCCCTAAGAGTTTTGGGCTCGACCCGCTTTATGCATGGAGAGGAATAGGAAGCCGGGTGATGGTAGACCGCGTTCCCTTGACCGTTCTGGGGGAAGGTGCAGCGTGGCGCTGACAAGGTGGGCTCCCAGCCCGTCAACCGTGGGAGCCGGCGGTCGTGTCTCCGGCGGCCGCCGGTCCGACGTCTAGAGGACGGCGGGATGGATGTAATATGCTCTGCGAAAACCCTGTCCCGCCTCAGAGGCATCATACCATACAGTCTAATATTTTATAAAAAAAAAATGAAAAATGGTAATATAAAGTGAAATAAAATGAAGTTGATTAATTTGAAACATTGGCATGAAATTAAATGAAACTAGTATCTAAAAAGAGGTTTAAAAAGGTGACGTATTGTGCAACTATATATCTATATATCTTAACAAGTACAATTTAATAGATTTAGTGAAAAGTTTTATATATTAATTCTTATTTTAATTAAATTGTATTAATATTATATGATGATCTTGTACGGTCGAAATATATTTGATCAATAAATAAACCACACAAACATGTATGTAATTGTTGCTCGGAGTGTCAATAGACGTGAAAACCAGATTGATTATTTTAATTTAAACATTATGAAATTTCAAATTTTAATACTAAAATTCTAAGTTTTCGCCTCTCTTGGCAGTCCAAATGATTGCGAAAATTTTTTGATTGCAATTTTTTTTATTGCCCAATAGATAATGATATATAATGATATTGCTCCGTTGTCATCATAGATATCAAAATCACAAACTTTAATGTGTAACAATAGTTATGCCATTGGATAAGTTATTGACATTCGTTTAATTAAACCTACGCTACATGGTTGAACTGCAGTAAAATAATTATGTGATTAATTAACAACATCATGAACAGCGGCAACATATAGGCACCTACAGGTAAAACTGACAGGACATAGATTTTCACCGGATTTTTCACGATCATACGATGAAAATCTGACAGCGAGGAAAACGTCTCTCGGTGAGGATCTAGAACAAAAATTGGATTCAAAGTCTGTACTAGGTAAACTATCAAAATTAGTGGACGCATTTTTAAATGAGACGTAACTAAATTCCTTAAATTTTTGTAGAGACTTTTTCTTTGGGATTTTCGGTATTCATGGGCAGCGGCAACAATTAACTACAGGTGAGTCAGGTGATCCCTAGAAAACTTTGCCGGTCAGGCGTCCTTGGGGTGAGCCGTACGTCTGGTTGCAATGTTGATCGCGGAAGCCCCCACCCGGGTTCGGCCACTTGAGCGAGCGCGCATGGGAGACGTTTAGTGGGTAGGACCCTAAATTTCTCGCTCCCAACATCTATGGACCGTCCAGTGTCGCTAACCTCGCGTGCCCCCTATGTGCGGGGACTTCGTAGGAAGTTCGGTCCCCGGCCCATAAATAATTATATAATTGGTTACCTAAACGACAGCAATAAGTGGTCAAAACAACTTTCTGCCGTGAAGCAGTAATGCATTTTGGCTTGAAGGGTGGGGCAGCCGTTGTAACTATACTGAGACCTTAGAACTTATATCTCAAGGTGGGTGGCGCAGTTACGTTGTAGATGTCTATGGGCTCCAGTTACCACATAACATCAGGTGGGCTGTGAGCTCTTCCACCCATCTAAGCAATAAAAAATAAAAAACTTTCATATCTCCTGATTTTTTA